CCCCCGCCGCCGGCTCCTTCCTTGGGCCTCCGCAATTTCTGCTCTTGGCAGGCCCTGCCCCTGGGCTGGTGTGGAGAGACCCAGCCTTGGGGTCCCCACGTCCCAGTCTCAAGCCTCAGCCCCACAGAGCCCTCTGCATGGGGAGCTGTGTTGTCCGTAAAGACCTGCCCGGGATCTTTTGCAAGGGGATAAGGCAAAAGGCCCCAGTGATCGGTAATACATCTGTCATGTGCATATTGACTGACAGTCACGCTCCCGCACTCTCTCACACAAGCACACTCCGTCTTGTTGCCAACTAGTTGCTCCCCCTAACTTCCCAGGCCAGGAGAGGGGTGGAGCCGGGCTTCTGCCGATCCGGATCAATGCTCCTGTGTTGACAAGATGAGACCCAGGGCCCCCAGCAAGACACCTTAGATTTATAGCAGTTCCCCTCTCATGCAGCTCTGTTGTTCATCTTATGCAGATCTATGCAAATCTATGCAGCTCTATGCAGTTAGTCATTTGTGGCACCTTCTGGGTGTTGTCCTTGATGCTGCCATATCCATCTTCAAAGAAGGTTTTTGGATTGGCTTCCAAAGAAGGTGCCTGCTTTGACTCCCACGGCCACCAGTGCACCTGATCTTTCTCTCGGCTCCACGTGACAGGCCTTACTGTCCTTGGATCTGGTCCCATTCCCTTCTCCAACGGCTGCAGCTGTTCAGAGGTGCTTGCCTTCCATGCCTTACTCCTTCACACCTTATTCATTCAACAGGGCAATAAGAGCGGCCGTACTGGGTCAGATCAATCATCCATCTAGCCCAGTGTCCTGTCTGCCAACAGTGGCCCAAGTCAGCTGCCGCAGGAGGAGAGAACACAGCAGGTAATCCTCATGGGATCTCTCTCCTGTCATCCATTTACAGATAGAGGCCAGGGACACCTTTCCTACTTATCCTGGCCAATAGCCATTGCTGGACCTAACCTCCATGAATCTATCAGGCTCTTTTTTGAACCCTGTTAAAGTCCTAGTCTTCACAACATCCTCTGGCAAGGAGTTCCACAGGTTGACTATGCGCTGTGTACAGGGCCAGCCCACAACAGTTTGCCACCTGAGGCTGGGAGCTCAAATGATGCCCCCATACCCTCTTTTCTCCTGCCTGCCTGTTATGTCTCTTGTGCCCTCCTTCCTCCAGCACAGCACTCCACCATCTCTGTGCATCTAGAGCAGAGAGCATACATATACACCAGCAGCAGACACAATTGTCTACACTCTGGGTCCTAGTGACCCCCCCCCCCCCCCTAATAACCATTGATGGACCATGGATTTATCTAGTTCTTTTTTGAACCCTGTTAAAGTCCTGGTCTTCACAACATCCTCTGGCAAGGAGTTCCACAGGTTGACACTGCGCTGCATGAAGAAAAACTTTCCTTTTGTTTGTTTTAAACCTGCCACCTCCAAACTTCATTTGGTGACCCCTAGTTCTTACATTAAGGAAAAGTTATTGCGGGAATATGTAAATCACTTTTTCCACACCACTCATGATTTTATAGACCCCTGTCATATCTCCCCTTAGTCTCCTCTTTTCTAAATTGAAAAGTCCAAGTCTTTTTAATCTCTCTTCATATGAGACTCATTCCAAACCCCTCATCATTTTTGTTGCCTTTTCTGAACTTTTTCCAATGCCAATATATCTTTTTTCAGATGAGATGACCACATCTGTAGCAGTGTTCAAGATGTGGGCATCCCATGGTTTTATATGGAGGCAATAGGATATTTTCTGTCTTATTCTCTGTCTCTTTTTTAATGATTCCCAACATTCTGTTTGCAGTTTTGACGGCTGCTGCCCACTGAGTGGATGTTCTCAGAGAACTATCCACAGGGACTCCAAGATCTCTCTTGAGTAGTTGTAGTTAAATTAGTCCCCATCATATTGTCTGTGTAGTTGGGATTATGTTTTCCAATGTGCATTACTTTACATTTATCAACATTACATTTCATTTGCCATTTTGTTGCCCAGTCACTTAGTTTGGTGAGATCTTTTTTTAAACTCTTCCCAGTCTGCTTTGATCTTAACTATCCTGAGCAGTTTAGTATCATCTGCAAATTTTACCACCTCACTGTTTACCCCGTTCTCTAGATCATTTATAAGTAAGTTGAATAGGACTGGCCCCAGGACAGACCCTTAGGGGACCCCACTAGTTAGCTCCCTACACTCAGAAATTTACAATTTATTCCTACCCTTTGTTTTCTGTCTTTTAACCAGTTCTCATTCCATGAAAGGACCTTCCCTCTTCTCCCATGACAACTTACTTTACTTCAGAGCCTCTGGTGAGGGACCTTGTCAAAGGCTTTCTGGAAATCTAAGTATTCTATAGCCACTGGATCCCCCTTGTCCACATGTTTGTTGACCTCCTCAAAGAATTCTAGCAAGATATGATTAGTAAGACATGATTTCCCTTTATAGAAACCATGTTGATTTCCCCCCCAACAAATTATGTTCATCTATATGTCTGATAATTTTATTCTTTACTATAGTTTCAACCAATTTACCCCGTACTGAAGTTAAACTTACTGGTCTGTAATTGCCAGGATCACTTCTGGAGCCCTTTTTAAATATGGGCGTCATGTTAGCTAT